TTTTTTTGGGTGAGTATTTTGTGTGTATATGCTTATGAGCCTGGAAGTCATGGTGATTTCTAGCGACCCCTAGTGGGGCTAGGGCATTTCAGGGAGGTGGCTTATATTATTTGCTTCTGCATCCCGGCAAAGGTATTCCTTGGAGGTCACCCTTCCAAGTACTTGACAGGGCTGGCCCTGCTTAGCTTTTGAGATCTGATGAGATTCGGCTTGCCTGGGCTATCAAGGTCAGAGCCAAACATGAGACTTTTTGAGCTTTGTAGAAATATCTGTCTTATCCATTCATGGCTTCATTCTTTCATTCATTAATACAATTTCTATCCTGCCCTCCCTGCCGAGGCAGGCTCAGGACGATTTACATAAAAATACATATATAAATACAATTTAAAACATTCATAAAAATGCCATATCAATTAAATATTAGTTATCTTAAAGCACTGGAACAATATTCAAGTAAAGTGCAAGAGCAGAAGTTTCAAGATTAGACAGTATTACTTAGGTGACAGTCCTAATGGTATTCTCACACCAGTTCAATTGGACAGATTATGTATGCAGTGAGCACAGGCTGTAGGTTGTAAGCCAGGGCACAGGGTCACTTCTCAGATGTTTGGTGCGGCTCCTAATCAAAGGCCTCATGGAAGAGCGCCGTCTTGCAGGCCCTGCAGAACTGTAAGAGGTCCCGCAGGGCCCTGATCTCCCCCAGGAGATCATTCCACCAGTACGGAGCTGCCACTGAGAAGGCCCTAGCCCTGGTTATCGCCGGCCTGGCATCTTTGGGGCCTGGGAGGGCCGGCCAGTTTTGGGCCCCTGAGCCCAGTGCTTTCTGGGGTACATATGGGGAAAAGCGGTCCCTTAGGTATGCCAGACCCTGACCATAAAGGGCTTTAAAGGTAAGAACCAGCACCTTGAAGCGAATCCGGTATGCTATTGGCAGCCAGTGCAATGCTTTTAGCACAGGCTGGATGTGCTCCCATACAGAGAGACCCATCAAAAGCCTGGCCACAGCATTGTGCACTAGCTGCAGCTTCTGGATTTGGGACAAGGGCAGCCCCATGTAAAGAGCATTACAATAGTCCAATCTCGAGGTGACCATCGCATGACACTGTTGCCAAGTTGTTGCGTTCGAGGAAAGGAACCAACTGCCTAATCAGCTGAAGATGGTAAAAGGTTGACTTGGCAGTGGCTACTACCTGGGCCTCCATTGATAACGAGGCATCAAGGAGCACTCCCAAACTCCTAACCTCTAGCTCTGGCACCAACTGCGCCCCATTGAAGGTCGGATCCCTACACTCGGACCACCCCGGCTCTGGCACAGGACCTCCGTCTTCGTTGGATTTAGTTTCAGTCGACTCAGTCTAAGCCAACCAGACACGGCTTGTAACGCCCAGTCCAGATCTTCTGGTGTAGAGTCAGACTGGCTGTCCAACAACAGATAGAGCTCCAGTCTCTGGATTTAAGTATCCACAGCTTTGGACACATTGAGAATCTTTCCTTATATATAATTGAGTAATGGGGTGGCACTTTCTGAACATTCCACACGCTCCTAAATCAGTTGGCTCCATGATGTGTCACTCAAAAGCTGTCCCTATCCACTGGCTGTGTTGCCTGAGTCCCGCCCAGAGTATGCTCAATCAGCCATTGGCCCGTCACCCGCCACTCAAGAGTACTCGTATGCCATTGGCTGGGGGCTGGGTCTGCTCCTCTTCCCCGCCCACTCCAGCCACTGATCTCTGTCAGAATACGCTCTCTCTCATGAGGAAAACACTTCGTCTGCTTGGCTCCTCTGTGGGACTCACTATTCCCTCAGTGGGTAGGCAACCAAGCTTGGTTCTGTCAGTAAAAAGACAAAGGAACGAAACCCTTTCCACACCTTTGTGAGGAACTCATTTGGGCCAGTCCTGACTACGGTTGCCAGCTCCAGGTTGGGAAATTTCTGCTCTCCTTCTGCCCCCCAATGCTGCCCTCCACAGGATCCACCCCCCAAATCTCCAGGTATTTCCCTACTCAGAGCTGGGAGCCCTACTTTCCCCTCAGTGCCTTTTGCTAGGCAACCAAGCTTGGTTCTGTCAGTAAAAGGCCCTTTGGGGGGAAAACTCATTGGGGCCAGTCCTGACTAGGGTTGCCAGCTCCAGATAGGGAGATTCTGTGTCTAAGGAAGCCAGTCTAAGGAAGCCAGAATCTGGGGAGGGGAGAGGCCTCAGCTGAACAGAATGCTATAGAGGCCACTGTTCAAAGCAGTTAACTTTCTCAGGGGGGAGGGGAGATCTGTTGTCTGGAGTTCAGTTGTGAGACCTGGCGATCTTCAGGCTCCACCTGGAGGTTGGCTACCTTAGGTATAGCAGTCAGCACTTCAGAGCAGGGTCTGCTAGACCCAGGTTCTTGCTGTGGCAGCTCACTGGGTGATTTTGGACCAGTCACAGACTTTCAGCCTAACCTACCTCACAGGGTTGTTGTGCAAATCAAAAGAGGGAGAGAAGAATGATGTAAGCTGCTTTGGTCCCCATTGCAGAGAAAGTCTACTTTTCCTCCTGGGGAACCATTGTTGCCAATCTCCAGGTGAGGGCTGGAGATCACTCAGAATTACAACTGCTCTCCAGATGGCAGAGATCAGTTCCTCTGGAGAAAATGGTGGACTCTGTGATCTTATAATCTGCTGAGATGGCCCCCCCATGACAGCCAATGTGATGTATCAGTCAGGGCTTCAGAGCACAATAGAGGCTGTGGGGGGGGGGAGAGATGGAAAACTGAAGAGTGAGGGGGAAATAAAGGTCGGTTGATGATTGGCTGGAAAGGAAATAGGGTTGACAACTCCAGGTTGGGAAATTCCTGGAGATTTGAGGGATGGAGCCTGGAGAGTGTAAGGTTTCAGGAGGAGTGGGACCTCAGACAGGTTCAATGCCATAGACTCACCCTCCAAACTAGCTAGTTCCTCCTTGGGAACCATTGTTGCCAATTTCCAGGTGAGGGCTAGAGACCACTCATAATTATAACTGCTTTCCAGGAGGAAGGGCAGAAGTCAGAGGGGCAGATAATGGTAGGTAGATGGTTAGCTGGGAAGGAGATGGGGTTGCCAACTCCAGGTTGGAAAATTCCTAGGGATTTGAGGGGTGAAGCCTGGAGAGGGTGGGGTTTGAGGAGGGGTTGGACCTCAGACAGGTAGAATGTCACAGTCTCCACCCTCAAAACTAGCCATTCCCTCCTGGGTAACAATTGTTGACAATATCCAAGTGATTACAACTGCTCTTCAGGTAGCAGAGATCAGTTCCTCTGGAGAAAATGGTGGCCTCTGTGTCATACCCTGCTGAGGTCATCACAGCAAATTGACACTGAGTGCCCAAGGCTGGGGCACTCTCCCAGAGCCTCTTTCTAGAGCTCGTTGTATTTATTTCCACAACGAGCCTTATTCCTAGTTACATATATTAATAATACGTTTAAAATATTAAAACAGCAGAGTGAATTATTATTTAATTTACATGTTCTAGGTTATTCAGCACTTCTTAACTTCACATAGTTCTATGAAAAACCCAGTAGTTTCTTCAAGACTGGGATTCTCAATTGGTGTGCTCGTTTGAAAAAGCCATGGACACATGACTGTTATCTCCTTTAGCAAAGCTGGTGAACCAACATTAGCATCAGTACAGGAAATTTTAAACTCTGAGGAGCTCAACATAATATTGTAGCAAAGTTTATAAATCTTTGCCGGACTTATTTTACGGGTAATTTTTAGACCTTCCAAAGAGGCTTGAGAAATGTACCAATCTTTGTGTTCAGTTGTGGGCTTACTGAAGATTCTTTTTAAGTATCAGACAATGATTTTAAACTTTTTTTATGGAAGCAAAAGGTGTGGCCTACTAGTGAACCAGAGGTCATGTCTGACCATCAATATGATTTTGTCTGCTTCCCAAGAGCCTAATGATTCTGGTGATTACTGACTGTCAGCTATGCTGCCATGATGTTTATGGACAGGAGTGCCTTTGCTTGACCTGTGTACCAGCTGCTGCTGCATTCCTTTGTTCCTTATTATCTCTGACCTTGTAAACTGCCTGTGTAGTGTCTTCCCATCAATTACCCCTGGGACTAGTTTCGATTCCCAGCTTTGGCGTTAACGGCCTGGGGCCCCATTCTCCCGCACCTCAGGCTGATTGGCCTAGGGATGGGGGGGTGCATACGAATACCCTATACCCCATTATGCTTGTGGGAACGTAGCCATTCCTAACAGTGACAATGTTACTGCCTCTATAGCTCTTACAATAAAGTATAACCTTATGATAAGCGTGTACTCATTTGTTTGGCTGTGGAACCTTACATTCTGTTAGGAATCCACTTTATTCTCATGATGCATAAGCCAGCTTCCTATTTCTGCAAAAACATTATCTCAAATCCAGAGTGGCTAACCTACATCCAGAGTCCTACTCTTAAAAAACAAAAAAACAAAAAAAAACAATGAATGACTCCAACTATGCTGGGTGCTACATCCTACCATGCAAGATGCATGAATGAACTGGCCCCATAGCACTTGGGTGCAATATATAAGGCTGTAAGCTTCTTCCTTCAGCTTCATGCCACATGTAATTGTTTCTTAACACAGCTTACTCTGTTAGTTATTAAGAAAGAAGTAACCATAGCAATTTCTTTTGGAAATTTGATCTTAAATATGCCAAGGAAGTAGACCTTTTAAATTTGCTCCACTATGAAATCTTCAAAGGATTTTACAGAAACACATTTTTATGAAGATAGTTTCAGAGGGTAGCTGTGTTGGTCTGTGGTAGAACAGTTAGATTCAAGTCCAGTAGCACCTTAGAGACCAACACATTTTGGGGGTAGAAGTTTCCAAGAGTCACAGTTCCTTTTTGACTCTTGAAAGTTTATACCCTGAAAATATTGTTATTTCTAAGGTGTTACTGCACTCAAATCTAACCATTTGTATGAAGTGTGCAAAACTGCTTTTAAGAATCAGGCAAACAAACTGCTACTTTAATAAGGGAGAAGGAACATATTACCCGAATAAACATTTCCAGTTCCGTTTTCCTTCGTTTCTCTATTTTCTCTGTTTCCATTTGACAAGTATGACAAACATATAAATGGTTAACGGCTGGTCCTCCACCATACCTGTAACAATACATTAAATCATTACATAACTTTTTATTGTAAATAGTAGTGAATGTCAAAAGTTGTTTATTACAAAACCTGTTTTTCTCAGCTTGAACTACATAGCCTATCACTTTTGCTCCAGCTTTCTACATATTTACTTGCATTTTGTCACTAGAAACAAACCTCTCTATATTAGAGACCATGTATCACTGAACTATTATGAGAAACAGGCTCCAATTCATCGTCATCTTATATCAAACTTTAGAATACATACTTTAATTTGCACAATAAAACCTGTATTTTTTTTTGACAGTACAGCATGTATAGTTTCACCTGTTTTCCCCCCAGCAAGGAAGGCCTCTAAAAGATGACAGTTTTCTAAAAGTCTTTATGAGGAAAGGAAAGGTTTTGTTTCAGTCATCTAACAGCATTTTTATTGGTTAGGTAATAAGGGGGGGGGGATTCTTTTATAATTATTTGGAATTAGAATGATATCTGTGAGAAACAAATAATAAGAGACCTATAATACCCTTTCCCGAAAGCCAATTCTTACATTTGAATCTAAATCATATATAATGGTACTTTGCCACTGTAGTGTGCAAAATGTTTTCGCATGCCAAAATTCCCTTTCGGGGGGATGTTTAAATCCCCCCGAAAGTGCAAGGGGGGGGAAGGACCAGCCTCATCGCTGCCGCCGAGCCCGGCAAAGGGGGGGGGGAGGACCGGCCTCGCCGTTGCCGAGCCCGGCAAAGGGAGGGGGAAGGACCGGCCTCGCCGCCGCCTCCTCGGGGAGATCAAGCGGGGGGGTTGGAGGAGACGGAGCTCTTCTCCCCCCCCCTGCGAGTATCGCGGGTCCCCGTCTTGTCCATTTCCTATTAGTAGGAGAGGTCCCATTTATCAGTTGCCACAGGTAAGTAATACTTTATTGTCATTTCATAACACAGAAGAGGGAGGACAACTAGCTAACTCACAATCTTAACTCACACAGCCCAATGTCACTTCTGCCCCAGACATGTTTGCAACTGGCCAGGGCACCCATGCAATGCAGCCACTACCCCACCCTGCTGGCTGGCTTCTCACAACAAAAGAATACCACTCTATGGTTTTAAAATGCCTTCTTCCCATTCACTTATTTAAGGTGTGAGCCACAACTAGATGTACTAGATAAGACTTGTAAGGCATATTTCTGTGTCCAGCTCTGACCCAAGCCTACACATAGGAAAGGACTGAAGGCTGCAATACATGAATAGTGACGAAGGGCCTCACCAAAAAGATTCAGTATACTGCAACTACTACAGATCACGGTGGCCTGCTAGGATCCTTTTGTTTTTATTTTTCAGTGTTAAACTACTGTGTTGTCAATTATTGCCACTCTGCCTGATGCAATTTTTTATTTATATGATCCGTTTTTGCTAAAAGATTATCTTTTTTCCTCATCTATGATGTCAGAATGGTAAGTGCAGTTCGAACAGGCTACATTATAAACTATACTGGTGTGTTCAGATGCTGTAATATCCAAATAAGTTTTATATGATTTATTGATTTATTTAGATTTTTGTCCTGCCCTCCATGCAAGCAAGCTCAGGGTGGGTTACAAATCACAAAATAACAATATAATCAAGTAATTAAAAACATATTTCTCATAAAACACAACCCCAACACAAAACAAGGTGGATTCACCTCAACAACAATGCTCAGTCTGAGCTGGATCCATTTGGCCAGCATTGTCAACCAGGGAGGCCGAGATAGATTTGGATGTCCGCTGCCTCATCTGAAGGCCCAGCGGAACAGCTCCGTTTTGCAGGCCCTGCAGAATTGTAGCAAATCCCACAGGGCCCTGATCTCAAGAGAGAGCTTGGTCTACCAGGCTGGGGTCAGGGCAGAAAAAGCCCTGGTCCTAGTTGAGGCAAGCCAGACTTTGTTGGGGCCAGGGACAACCAGGAGATGTTGATCACTTGAGTGCAATGCTTTGCGGGGGACATATGTCATGCATACATAAAAAACAGAAGAATCCTCCAAAATGTAATGTGAACACATATTTAAAAATGGCAGAAGTTAATATATTGTTACCTCACATAGCTTTTACTTTCTTACACGAATTCCCACCTTTTTTGACGATAATGAGTAGAAAGTATGTCTAGTTTTATGGTTTACCACAGAGTGATTGAGAGAGATCCCTTTACACTTCAGCATAGGGACTCCACTAGATATTTATGTGATCAGTTTTGTAAAATTTAGAGCAACGAAATACTGCAGATTAAGAGCAATATTTAGAACTTAACATTTTTAACTGACAGCCAGTGAAGATATACCAAAAATTAAAATTCTGCCATTAAATTACACATGTTGACAGCTTTCACTTCACTTTTGTTTAAAACGACATTATCAAACTACAGCTGTTGAAATCTTGCTTCACTGATTCTATTTACAGTATGTGTAAAGCTAAACTACACATTTAGCAAAGACTGGTGTTTCTGATGCACACTACTTTAGAAAGCATGTTCCATCCATGTGAAATACACTTGTTTGTAAAAAGTTACTACACAGCAAAGTGTTGTAAGCCCAGATTTCTCTCAGTGGTGATGAAGAGGGGGCACTAAGGGGTAGGATGAACTTTAAGAATACAATCTCTTAACTAATCCAATCCAGGAAAACTCTACCATGGGATTGTGTGGTGCATGTACATCTTTTCCTTCAAGGATGAAAGCACCTGTCAATTCTTGAATTTTTTTTTATCATACATGTACAGATTCAACCCATTTGGGCTTTTTTTACTCACTCCCTTGTTCCAACCTTGCTCTTATTTTGAAAAGTAAAATGGATACATTATGGACTAGCAAACACATAAATGACTAAGAGGCATGGTCTGCTTACCCCTATATTAAGTGCAATGATTTCAATTAGACTCTCAATGCACATTTTTCTTTTAGAATTCTGTGAGGCTTATGGGCTTAATCCTCTGATTGGTCAAGCCCATTCTTTTTAGAGGCAGGAAAGTTATTACTCAGATTAAGCTATTATGAAATAATTCTAGCATCTTGATGGAAGTAGACAATTAAAAGTAGTGTAGAGGTATTATGGAGAAAGGTAACATTTTGTACAATGCTATGTGGATACTTCATAGATACAAGCCTACTTGTACTCATGTGATATTTTCCTAGCATATGGATAAAACATCAAAAGCATTCAGTTTCACCTTACAAAAACTGGAGCCTACCTGCTATACAGGTTATCCCAGATGTTTTGAGGTAGCATTATTACTAGGTCCTCTACAGAAGTAGCCTTTTGTGGAGGAATTCCTGTGAAGTAAAGAAAAGGTTGAGAACTTTTACTGTTCTCAGTAGTTACAGCAAGTGTTACAAGAGTAAATCACATAGCTCAAAAGGCCTTATTTATAGAAAACAAATGAAAATTACAATGAAAAATCAATGTTCTTCCAAAAATTGAGCAGCCTGGATTATCATCAGAATTGCATAACTTTGTCTCAAAACCAAGTGGGCAAATTATGCTAGCTATTTGCTTTGAAGTGTAACTATGATATAGGTATCTTGGTTTGTGTTATAGTCAACTGCTGCTACTTTCACACCCCAATCTACAACTTGATGTTGCAGTATCTCATTACTAGCGTTCCTATCAATATGCCATTATTACCTCCATTTTCCAGCACTCTTCAGCAAGCTGTTCTGGAAAGCACTGTCAAGTATGTTTTATATCTTTCCTATCTTGGTAAAAAATGGGTGAGGGCAATCAGAAAAGTTTTCCAGCTCTAAATACAGAATTTCTGTTAAACATGCGCAAATTAATATTGTTCTACCTCAACTAAAGGCAGGTGTTGAACTAAATAACCTCACTTTCCCAAATAGGTTTCTAAAAATTCAGTTGTAACTAGGAGGAATTTCACATTACCCTTTTTAAGCCGGTTTGAAGCCGTTTTTGATCCGTCATGGAGTAAACCAGTATAGGGCTGCCATTTCACACATGACTTTCCCCTACCGGTAAACAGCTGGATCTGAAGCGGTTGCCATTTCAGACTGCACTGCTTTTTCCCACTGTTTTTCGCCCACGTGGGCGATCTCCGGCTTTTTTTAAAAAAGCTTGCTTTAGAGCGCTATAGCGCTATAACACAACACTCCAGGCATTCCAATGGGGTTGCTATAACGCTGTTTGCTGTTGTGTTATAGCGCTATAGCACTCTAAAGCAAATGTTTTTTTTAAATAAAAAAAAGCTGGAGATCGCCCATGCTGGCAAAAAACGGCGGGAAAAAGCGTTTCAGATCCGGTAGAAGAAACTGAAGACTACTTGGAAGTAGTTTACAGGTAAAACAGTTCAGCCCCGTTTCCTGAACGGGACAGAAGCATTTGTGTGTGAAAGTACAAATATATTCCAGTAGGGAACCGGTTCTAAAACAGTTCTGTCTGAAATGTCAGACCAGAAACCGTTTGGGGACTGTTCCTGAACTGAAATATATTGCCTGTCTGAAATTCCTCTATTTTTACTCTTTTATACCCTAAATATAATTATACCTTTAAAGGTTAACTCAAAATGCTAATTATACCTTTAGCAGTGAATTCAAAATGCTATCTACAAGTAATGGCAAGGAGCTGGTATCAAAAAAGAAATCTGCATGGTAATAAAATGACATATACCAGATTAACACACATGAACAAAATACTAGATGAAAAGTGGAATAAACTAACTTTAAAAGCACTTCTGTAACTAAAATGAAACATAAAACAGACAGCAATCCTAGCATTTACAGATTTTTAAATAAGAATAGCTATTCAGAGGATTTTATATGCCCAGAACTGTTCTAAAATTCTGTTGAGAGAAAACAGGATCAGAAAACTGGGAACGAACCAGCTTTATCACTTGCACCCAAATATGAATGATTAAACCATAAAGATTCACACGAAAACATTCTCATCTTCATTTCCCTATGCCATGGCGGGATGGTTAAAAAATAGGAGGTTGAAACGGAATCTGACAAAGATGGAGGTGCTGGGGAGGGGGGGCTTCAGGGCTCAGGTTCAGCTTACCTGCTCTTGATGGGGAGTTGTTGGTACTGGTGCAGTACCAATTACACCCAGAACTTGGGTGTGATCCTTGATGCCTCTCTAAATATGGAGGCCCAGGTCACACATACAGTCAGGCTGGCATTTTTTATCTATGCCAGGCGTGGCAGTTGGCCCCTTTCCTGTCACATTCCAATTTAGCCACAGTAATCCATGCGATGGTCACCTCCAGGCTAGACTACTGTAACTCACATTATGCTGGTCTGCCCTTGAGACTGACCTGGAAGCTCCAATGTCACGATTGCCCTGGCGGGGCGGGCTAGGCAAGGCACAGAGTATCCAAAAACACAGGCTGAGGTCAGAGCACCAGATAGGCAGAGAAACAAAAGCCTTATCCAAAATATCAGTTCACTTGCACAGTCTAAGGGTTACCGGAGATTGGCAGTCTGAGTTGTAAAGCCGAAAGCCGTTGTTCAGAGTCAGGTTACACATTCCAAGGTCAGGGAGCCAGAAGAACGATGTCACGCAGTCCGGAGTCAAAAAGCCAAGGGAGTCAAGCAGAAAGTCAGGAAACAAGATGCAAGGTCCGAGGTGCAGCAATTCAATTATGTGATCAGTTGCCAAGTAGGTAGTGAAGAGGGCTTCCTTAAAAGCCCATTCCCTGTGTTCCTAATTGCCGGCTGATTACAGAGTCCTGGCTCCAGTTAATACTCTGGTCTCAGAGGACGCCTCCCACGCATATGTACTTCCTTGCGCTGGGTTGTCAAATCCCGTCTCCTTTGGTCTCTTAAATGAGCTACAGGTGGAGGGAAATCAGGGGGTGTGGAGCTTGCGCTCGGCTCTGCAGGAGCGGCTCCAGGTGTGAACCCTTCTGGCAGTCGGTGTTCATCCTCTGCAAAACTTACGTCCAGGGGTGCAGGGAGCTCTTCCTTGGATGTGGAAGGTGCAGTCCCCGGGATCAAGGTCCACTGGGTCGGGCGGCACGGTGGGCATGACATCCAACTGATCCAGAATGTAGTGGTACGAATCCTGACAGGAACACCATGGACTGCACATATTCAACCTGTGCTGCGTCAGCTGCACTGGCTTCTGGTGGAGCACTGAGTCAAGTTCAAGGTTTTGGTTTAAACCTTTAAGGCCTTCAGCAGTCAGGGACCAATGTATCTGTGAGACCACCTCCTCCGGTACACCCCCAGGAGAGCATTACGTTCTGCACAGAACAACTTGCTGGTGGTCCCCAACCCTAGAGACGTCCAGCTGTCTTTGACCAGGGCTAGGGCCTTTTTGACCCTGCCCCAACCTGGAGAAACTCTCTGCCAAATAACATCAGGGCCCTGCGAGATCTTGTGCAATTCCACAGGGCCTGTAAGGCAGCGATGTTCTGCCAGGCGTCTGGTTGAGGACAGTAACAGTTTACATAATGGCTGGCACCCTTCCCAGATCTCTATCCCCTGAAGGATTTAATCTCACCCCCCATACCCACGAAGCACCCACGGGCCGGAAGTGGGAGGGGACCTTAAAATTTTGCCACTTGATTTTAATCAATGAATTATATGTGTTGAAAATGGTTTTTATTGTTTTAATTCTGTACGTTGCCTAGAGACCCACAGTTGAGCGGAATTAGGCTATGCAAAAATATAATTAAATAAATAAATAAATTTCTTGTTTCTTTTTGTTTATTTTGCATATTGTTAGTCTATTTTGAACATCAGAAAAGTGGCATAAATTTTTCAACAAATAGACATCTCAGGATAAGACCTTTTATCTTAAAAGGCTGATTATTTTTCAGAATTGAACTCTCACCTCCATGAATACAGAGAAAGTCATTATTTGAAATAGGTCCTGGTTCTGCAAAGGTCCGGAATTTATTTAGCCACTGTCGAGAAATATAAAATTGGAGGAGGCTTGGTTCCATTACATTAAGGCTTGATAATCTCTGTCTCTCTTTTTTAGCTTCTTCATTGCTTTTTCTATTACAATAATGAAACAAAAACATTTAAAAGATCATAATGTATTGTCTATATGTTATTATCCTGCCTGTTTTCTTAGTCACACATCTTAAAGCACTCAATTAAAGCTTCCATTAACAGGCTACAAGTATTTCATCAGGTTGATCTCTATGTCTGTAGAATTTGTTTTAGAGATGTCTGATGCAATGACACATGAAGCATGGCAACAGCTCACTGGAAAATGCCAATTAAAAATAAAAGCAGCAATTCAAATATTGATGCATTCTAAGCAGAAAACATTTTAGAAGTATTTTAAATTGTACTGTAGCTTTATCAAACAAGGTTATTTTACTGTACATACAGATTTGTATGCACTCTTGAGGGCATGGGTGATCCATTGATTTTAATCCAATTCACATACATTTATGGTACAAACTGCTGAATAAGCGCAACTGAAGTTAACTGCAAAATTTATTGATAAACAACCAGATATATTTTAGGTAATTTCAGTTCACGTTTGGCTCTAATGTTTCAGAATAATGCAAACAATGTATTAACCTTTTCGCATAATTTTGCTGCTACCTTGCATAACTTAACATTTCCTGTCCCATTTATAGAAATTCTTTGCTCTTAAAATCTGAATAGAAGCCTTTTCTTATGAAATAATGAAACAAATGACCCTGTTCAAGTTTCAAGAAAAGCTCAACCGTAAGTGCTGGGAAGTTTCAGCCTGCTACAGTGAAACCCCTTGTTCTCCATCTCCCAGCTGATAAAGTGCCAACAATTTCTTCTGTTGCAATAGCATTTTATTGGATTGTAGAATCCTTCCTGCATGCATTCTCTTATGAAGGAACACAGGCTATCCATTCAAAGTGATTTATAAACATGGGTCAAATTGCAGTAACTTATCTGGGGATCTGTGTTACTATCTGTGCACATGTACTAGAAATGAATTGCATATCACAGTTTTTTAAAATATCTGGACATTTAAACCACTTTGGCTTACATTCTAATTTTACATACACTGTTCTGCTAAACCAGTGCTCTCCACAGCCCTAGCCAACCTAGAGATTACCATGTTAAAATGAATACCAACTTTCCCAGTGTCAACCTCTACTGAAGTGAGATAAATATTGCAGAAACCCCAAGGCGTGTCTTTACTTTTACAATGGCTTGGATCCCATCAAAAAGTTTCACTGACAAAAAGATTTCTATCAGCATAACATGATTTCTTTGCCTCCCTACTCCTGCTACAGTTCCAGAATAGTATTCCTGGGGGAACAGCATGACATCTGAGGTCTGGAACAAGAAGCGGGAATACGTGAAAATTGCCCCTCCTCCATCAATGGAAATCTTTCACAGGATTCCACCCATATTAGGAAGTCTTGAAGGAATATAGACCCAAGGCGGGGGGCGGGGGGTTACAAATATTAGTTTCTGCACAGAGGCATTCAACAGATAAGGTATTTATCTTGGGAAACAATTATACTTCATCAAGAACTCCATTAATTGAAAAGCATGTTGTCAGCTTTTTAAAATCTCTGCAAATTTGTGCAGACCAAAATGTCACAACTGCTGTTGGTATACAAGTGTGATGAGATTTGCTACCTACTAAAAATATACCCCCAAAAATATTACCAATTTTTCTCACCTATAGAAAAGAACATAAGCTTCTGCATTTTGGACAGCTGATTCTGGTACTTCTGTGACACTCTGATCATCAAATTCATACCATCGATTATTTAAGTTGTTCCGGCAATAAGCTATATAATGTCCATCTACATTCAAAAATGACAAGAAGAAAATTAAGTCTAAGAAATTTAATGTAAATCCTTTATTCTGTCAGCTGCATAAAATTCAGCATGCAACATGTACATAGCCTGGGAGAAAAGAAAAAAGTATATATATAAATGTACTCACTGCTGGCAGTTCCATGGTGACAGATAACTGATAAGAGATTGTATGTTACTATTTGAGCTGGGCTGTCCTTAGCAAGAAAAGGTTGAAGATCAAGTCCTTCCAAAGGAAACGACACATGAGTTCCAATTTTTGTGGAAAACATAAGTTCATGCCTGAATCTTTTTAGATGAATACATAATATCTGTAAAGAAGAAATTACAGAATTTTAAAAGAGTTTATTAGCATCTTAGTATAAAGTTACCAGGCAGTTTAATACTACCATCTTGGTTATTACACAAGCATCCTGGCTACTGCCCTCTTCTGCCTTCTCTTTAAAAATATAATCTTTGCATCAGATGGTGGTTAGTTTAGGGAATCATATAGAGTTTCTCCAACGCAAGTATACAATACAATTAGGAAAAAAAACCACATAAGCAGTCACGTATGACTTTCATACAACTTTTTGCTAGGAATTTACTCACAAAAAAGCAACTGGTACGCTACTCATAAATTCAAGTCTGCTTTTCCTCTTTATAGTGAAGTGTAAGGAAATCATAATGTGTCAAATAATTAATCAGAGAAATAAACACTTAAGATTTTTTTAAAGCCAGAACTCCCCCAGTTTTTTCTGCTTTGTTGTTGACATCTGGGGAAAACATATGCAATAATTTTCTATCAAACCTAAACTTAGTTTACTGCGGTAACATATAAAATGCATACTTTAAAATCAGCATACAGAAGTATACTATTTGGCATAGATAAGAGCACAAATGCCTTAGGTCTTCCATAAGTGAAATTGCAATATACCCAATACTTGGCTGAGAGCTGCAAGCTGCTGTAACTTATAGTATCTTAGCACAAGTATCTTAATTTTTGCCTCTGAGAGAGGTCAGAAAAAATAAAATAAAAATTGACATTAGAAAACAAGTTTTATATTAGACTATTAAAAGTATAATAGTTGAACATAGTCTCAAGTTGTTGTTGTTTTTGTCAGTACTCCCCAAGAGTGCCCTGGGAAAAAAATATCCTCAAGAAAAAATTGTTTTTCCAGGCCTTTGCATCTCCATCCAAACATTTTTACACAATTGCTATACTTAACCATACAGTTCATCGTTCAGTGGCTACAATGTCATGTGATTTGCATGTAGAACAACTTTAGAGTCCAGTGGCACCTTTAAGACCAACAAAGTTTTATTTGAGGTCTGAGCTTTCGTGTGCACACACGCTTTTGCATGTGCGATACTACCACAAAATACCATTTCTCAACCCTATTCACATATTCAGTTCACACATTCAGTTCAAATCCCTGTTCTCCCTGAAAAGCACTAAGTGACCTTTGCCCAGCCACTTCTCACCTACATCACAAAGCTATAATGAGGATGAAATGTAGGAGGGAGAGCATCATGTATACCACCTTTAGCAATTCGGACTACATAAAAATTAAAATACCTCAGGAAAGCGTTGAACTTTGCAGAACTTTACTCCATTTCTTAACCTACAGTAAAACAAATATTTTAGTTCTGAACAAAAACATAAGAACATAAGAGAAGCCAATGTTGATCAGGCTAAAGGCTCATCCAGTCCAACACTCTGTCACACAGTGGCCAAAAATACCAGGTGATGTCAGGAGGTCCAGCAGTGGGGCCAGGACACTAGGAGCCCTCACACTATTGACCCCACCCCCCCCAAGCACCAAAAATACAGAGCATCACTTGCCCCGGAGTCCCTATCTATACTTTGTGGCTAATAGCCACCGATGGACATCTGCTCCATATGCTTATCTAATTCCCTCTTGAAGCTGTCCATGCTTGTAGCCGCCACCACCATGTGTGTTAATCACTCTTTGGGTGAAGAAGTACTTCCTTTTATCTGTTCTAATCCGACCGCTCAGCAATTTCATGGAGTGCCCACGAGTTCTTGTATTGAGAGAAAGGGAGAAAAGTACCTCTTTCTCTACCTGCTCT